TGCAATAGATTATATATAATCTTAAAAATGCTCACAATTAAAATGCCAACTGCCAGTCACTGCTGGTCACTGCTGGTGCCTATAAATATAATTTCTATTAGTGGTTACCTACTATTGATCTCTCTTACTTTTTTAAACTGAGGAATGAAAAATTCTGTATCTTAGGGAAAGAGTGTCAACAGGAAGACTTCTCCCCTTTTCTGTGAGCCCTGTCATAATTCCAGGAAGCAAATCCCAATAGTACTTCAGTACTTTGAGCTTGGCCTAGGTTGGGCTGCAGAGCTAAGAGGTCAGGAAAACCAAGATGATGTGGTCCCTTGGAATTTCCATGAACTAAAATGATCACACAACATTTCAAGAATGGAATCTGTATATCAGAAAATATGACCATGAAAATGAAATTTGAAATATTAGATATTTGGAGAAAATAATAATAATGATAGTAATAATAGTAATAGCAGCTTTCATTTATTGTGTCAGTAAATGAAATGAAATACTTTATAGCTATTTTTACATTTCATCTTTACTCAAGCCCTACAAAGTATGTGTAAAATTATCATAACTTTAGAGATGAGAAATCTGAGGCACAAAGAGGTTGAGTAACTTGTCCAGGGTCACAAAGTACAATCCTCCAGAGTTGGTGATCTTAAATAAAATGCTTCACTAAGTAGTAGTATCAGTCAGGACAATAATATGCTAAGCGTAGGAGAAAGGAAGCCTATTACCATTAATACCACCACCATTGACTTCGAACTTCAAGCTTCATCATAAATCAACTTTGATTCTTCTCCATCTCCAAACACAATTAATTTAGTAAATCTAACAATTCTTCCCCAATCTGATTATATACAGCAAACATGTATAGAGCATCCATTATGTAAAAAGCCTTGTACTAGACAGAGTAAAACTTTTATATCTAGGTTTATCACAGGATTTCTGCTTTCCCAAGAAAGAAACAGATAACTGAAGGGGAAAGGAAATAGATTTTATCTATGTCTTTTACAAATCTAAAGGAAGTATATTAAGCATGACAGAATCAGCAAATAATTCTTATTCATTATACTTAGGATGTAGCACATCTGCAAATGTATTCATTCATTTAAATTTGGTTAATTGTTCCATATAGATCTAGTTAATAAATTCTGATATACATAGGATTAAAGCCAACACTTACACAACGCTATGTACCAGACACTGATCTAAGCACTTTACACAGATTTATCTCATTTAAGCGTGGATTTACATTCATTTAATCCTCATGACAATCTTATAAAGTAGTTATTATTATCCCCATTTCACAGATGAGTAAACTGAGGGACAATGGATTTAAATAACTTGTCCAGAATCATACAGGTAGTAAATGGCAGAGATGGGATTCATGCCCAGGCACTCTGGCTCCAGAGTCCGTGCTCTTGACCATTGTCTTCTAAAGAGGAGGGAAAAAAAATCTGGAACTGGAATAAATCATTAATGCGGTGGTAAATAACAAAAATCACGGTATTCTCTGCCCTTTATGCCTGATGCAATGTCAAATATAGAAAACATTTGTTTGCAGGAAAGGATAAAAACTAAGGGAAAGAGGGAACAAACTCATTAACTATAACTCTTGCTCACATCTAAACTATCTTAATCGCTCTTTGTAATCTTTGGGGCTTTAACCTCAAACACCACTTTTCACATATTTCTGAAAATAAAAGTGTTATTCACATCATGATGATGCTTTTTTCTGTCATTTGTGTGTGTTATTCTGCACAGGCAGGCAGTAGGTCAACAGTGCATAAACCAGGACTCTAACAAAGGTGGCGAGGTTTGAGGTACATGCCACAAATGCTCTTACTTTCTTATGAGTGTCTCAAACATGTTGTCTCATCTCCACATTTCGTAAGAATGCTGACCATTCTACCAATTCTTCTATAACCACTATTAGGTACAGCATTTATTTCTGTGTCTGCCTAACAAAAATTCTTTCTTGAATGATGTGCTATGGATAGTTCTGATAACCAGAAATTCAAGGAATCACCTATATATTCTAAGGCTGCTTTTCTTGTGGATTTGGGAAAAATAGGGCAGACAGGAGCTCTGCTGGAGTGACTTCCTACTTCTGAGAGAACATGTATAAGACTAATTACACTGATGAGAAGTTTGTGGCCTCTTAATCATACAACTCTGGTAGAGCTCACTTACATATCACGGTTACTAGAGCAGAATGCTATCTTTGTTAGACTTAAAGTCAGTACCTATTAGGCAAAAAGTATACAAAGCAAAAATTTCCCCTTAAAAAGCTGTTAAACAGATATTAAGTTCAACCTACATGATTTGGTGTAGCCAATCTTAAACAGTAAAATGCACAGTTTTACTACATTAATAGAGGAGTATTAATAGAGTTCATGTGCCAAATAAGATTTTATAGTAACGGAAAAAATGATTTTTTCCCCTCCCTTATAGTTTTAGTGGGGGGCAGGGAGGGAGAACAGCAACTCAGTTGAACCCAACTAAACTAAAAGCATATGCTTTATAACCCCACCAAACTACTCATTCTGTGGATTTACATACTTTTTATTGTCGCCTATTAAGTATTTTCAAACTTTACAAAAAGTAAAATAAAAAATCTATCAGGAATGTAAAACCAAAAATTTTTTTAAATGATACAACTTGCTGTGATGGAAATGTATTATTTATACTGGAAAAGTCTAAATAAATTTCACTGACATAATTTCTATAAAAGTACCTGCAATTTATTTAAAATTTACATTGACTTTTTAATAATTTTACAAACAATGTGTCAAAATTGGTTTATAGCCAATATCAGTATTTCTCCTGAATTAAAAAAATTCAACATACTATGATACTCAGTAGAATAAATACTTTGGTAAACCAAGATTCTTATTAACAAATTACATCCATCTATACTTATGATTATGAAAAAAATGGTCAACTTAGATGTTTAATGATAAACTCAAAAAGCTGATAAACTTCCTATACAGCAGTGTTGAGGGCAGCTTCAAAGATAACCATAACTGTCTTTCCCTGGTGAGGAGAGTTCAGGGAATTAAATTGCTTGAAATTATAAATAAAACATAACTTCTTAACTAGATAACTAAACCATTTTAGGTTCAAAATCATGACTAGGACAGAAGAAGCAAAGTGAGTGGAAGAGTGGATTTCAGTGAGAATAAAAATAAAGGGTAACATTAAATCACCACTCTGATTTCTCAGTAGACAGGTAAGAAAAAAAAATATATATATATAGTTGTATGGTAGACTGGGATTAGCTAAAGATTAATCTGGGTTTTTAAACAGAAAACTAGTTTATTATAAAATCAATTTAATTTTTCACTATACACAATATACACTCAAAAAAATTAAGAGTAAAGAACAGCATTTCATATTCACCTATAGATCAAATAGCAAAAAAGAAAAGGAAGATTTGCTTTGAAGTCCATCTCTAGAGGCAAACTTAATTTCACAATCATGAAATATGTAAATGTTTGGATATATTATTATGTTCTCTTCTCCTAGAATCCTATTTAGCACTCAAGTTAAAAAAAACCTGAAGTTTGAAAGGAAAGTAAACATAAGGTACAAAGGCATCATTTAATGCATTTTAAGAAATAATATGTTATCACACAATAACAAGACTGTGAAAGAAAATAATCCAATATTAATAAATAGTATTTTGTTCTCCACTATATAAAATTCGTACTTCACAAAACAGGAAACCTACCTTTCCTATTCACAATATTATTTAAAGAATCAAAAACTTTTAAAGGAAGGAAATTTGTACATCAACCAAAGATAAAATCTTTGACTATCCCCAAGATAAAATAAGGTGTCCAAGATTTCACCACAGAGTTGACAGTAATTCCAAGTCTTATGGTGCCCAAGACAGTGCTCTTTACACTACAACCAGGTTTCTCAGCACTGAGTCCCAAAAGGAAAACACTAAAAACCATGTTTAATTGTCTCTCTCTCTATGTTTTTGGATTCTACATGACTGTTTTACTTCTTCCCAAAGTATTTAAAATAAATTAAACATAGGCTACAGCCAAATATAATAACAAACCACATATTTTAACTCAGCATTTTTCAATGCAAAACAGCATAACCCATATGAAGACTATGAACTCCAATCACATACTGCTTCCTTCCACTTATGCCAATCTGCTTCTAGGATTAAGTATCCATAAATTTTATACTTGTCCATCTTCTACTGGTTAATTCTACGAGAAGTAAATAATTCATTGTTCACGCAAAGTATAACATTTTTGAAAAGTTATCCCTTAACCTCACCAATTTACTGCGGAATCCGGGAACAGAGTTTAATTTTACTGACAATTCTTTGGTCTAATTTTTAGTATTTCAGTCTCATTATTTTAAAGTTTTGGGGGATTTTTTGTTCGTTTGTTTATTGCTTAAAAAAGGCTTTACCCTTTTGACCTTTTCAAGTATAAAATGTTAGCTTGGTCCTATTTTCTCTTAACTGCCAACCAAGAAATGTCATCTGTTATGTCTGTTTTGATATGCTTCCAAGAGACAGGGCTATAGAGTCCCTGATATAAACAGCTGATGACTACTGGAACAAGAACGGAGGAGGGAAGACTGGAAACTGATATTTGGAAAGTCAGTGCCATCTCTCAAAGGTAATACATGAAGAAAACAATACACAAAGAAAAATGACTATGTATAGAGAGAATAATTAGTGAGGCATTCCAAACTCTTCCAACTTTAGTAAAGAGTATTGCAGGTAATCCAGGTGTAGAAATAACACCAAGAACATTTCCTTCATTTTAAGAGAGAAAATAAACTCTCAAAGTATGACAGTAAATTAAAATATAAAAAAAAAATTAAATCTACCATGAGGGTACTGCATATTCTATGGTATTCCATGTAAATATGTTAATCTTTATTTCTCTTAAGATACAGAGCTCATATATGGAAAACCTTACTTATTCTGCCAAATTACTTTATAGTTTTAATCAAGGGTTGATGAACAAACTTACTCTAGATGAGTCATAAGAGGGGCTTGGTTGACCACTTGTTCCCCAAGATGTTGTACCTCCTCGTTCATCCATACCTAAGGAGAGAAGAAAGTGAAAGATATAAATCCAAAAGGCTACTATGATGGATTTGTTTTCACACAGTACAGCAGAGAGTACAATTCAGCAAGTAGTATTTGCATTTGTATGGAATTAGCTGTGTATCGATTCTTGTCTCAGAAACCTGAAGCAAGTAAGTTACCTCAGAAAGTCTTCATCACTGCTCCATACAACGTCCTTTATACAATGCAGAATTTCAGAACCAAAATGTCTTTGGAGACTTTAAAATAGGGCATAATCTAGGTCTCCTCATCCACTGCTACTTCTTTTTTTATTTTTTATTTTTAAAGATTTTATTTATTTATCTGACAGAGAGAGACACAGCAAGAGAGGGAACACAAGCAGGGGGGAGTGGGAGAGGGAGAAGCAGGCTTCCCGCTGAGCAGGGAGCCCGATGCAGGGCTTGACCCCAGGGCCCTGGGACCATGACCTGAGCCGAAGGCAGACGCTTAACAACTGAGCCATCCAGGCGCCCCTCCACTGCTACTTCTAAGAGTAGATGAAACCCCCAACCTTCTATACTTTAGTCCTGTCTACATGAAAATATGAAGAATTTAGTTCTTATGGATAAGCCTTAGAAAATGAAGCAAGTTGGGGAGCCTAGGTGGCTCAGTTGGTTAAGCGTCTGACTCTTGATTTCAGCTCAGGTCATGATCTCAGGGTTGTGAGATCAAGCCCCACACTGGGCTCTGCACTGGGCATGGAGCCTGCTTAAGATTCTCGCCCTCTGCCCCTCCCCTTCTCTAAAAAAAAAAAAAAAAAAGAGAATGAAGCAATTTGGACAACTGTTCAAGTTAATAAAATTGGTTTCTAATATAACATTGACTAGATATTCTTAACTGGAGATATCAAAGTAAATCAAACTATACCAAATCATATCACATCAATGTTAGTTACATTAAAACTAATAAAAATGATGTGACAACTTATCCTAGTAAAACCTCCTCCAAAATCTGATTCTAAATGAGATCTACTCTTCTGAAAATTGCAAAGGATAACTCAAAGTAAAAAAGGATTAACAAAAAGATCAATTTATTGTGCTCTTTAATGTGCCCTCTGAAGCTTTGGCTCCATTATTTTCACCTTCCAGTCAGTCCCTAGAAAAAGAAAGAGCTGAAGACCTCTCAATCCAGGTATCTCTTCCTTTTCTGTCTTGAGGACCAGTCTTTTTTATCCTTGACCCTAACAGGGTATGCTTTCCCAAACCCTTTCCAAGTTTTCTATGATGAAACACAAAGAGTTGATTTTTTTCATTCTTTCATGAGAAAACTCTGAATGTTACAAAGACAACATTCTGCTAAGTTTAGAACCTCTTTTTCTTAAAAAAAATAAAAATACAAAACTTCCTTGAAGTCCTCTGTGATTTGGATGAGAACGTGGTCTGTAGTGAGTTAAATACCACAAATTCTCCAGGAACCAGCCGCAATTCTCAAGTCTCTTTCACAAGGACAGGACTGCCAACTGAGGGGGCAGGTGACAAACAGGAAAAGAAGAGTCAATTTCCAAAGTAGAAATTACTAATCACTAAATCATTAGTTGGTAGGTCCTTAATTTATTCTTTTTATGAACCTGTACTTTCTATATTAAGTGATTAACATGTATTTTAAAAAGTTTTTAAAAACACTGTAGTTAAAAGATGGGTACCTACTACAGAAAACACTCTAGGCACAATTTCAAGCGAACCAGAAGCTTTGAAAACACAGAGAGATCACCAATATACAATGTTTCGTTCATGCTTGGATAATTCTTACTAAAATTCTAGATTTAGGAAAGATTCTACAAGTTTGGGAAATATCGCTAAAAATATACTTTGTAGCCATCTCTCCAGTGTCACTAGGTACCTGTGGGCTATATTCCAAGCATCTTCTTTGTAATCAACACCGCAGAATAGCAGTCAGAATTCCCATGAGGCCCAATCCAAGAAAAGGCTATTAACCCACATAATAAAAAACTACCGATGAAACTGCAAATAATTTTATGAAAATTTTATTTTTAAATCATACTTTCCATTTGCAACTGTTTTTCTATATAAGATTTTTTTATACTACATAGCCAAAGTAAAATACAAACTTAAATTGGCTACAGAAGGCAGAGTCTCAAATATTTGTACACCCCTATTCTACTGCATTATTTACAATAGCCAAAAGGTGGAAGCAAGTCAAGTATCCGTTGGCAGATGAATGGATAAATAAAATGTGACATATACATAAAATGCAATACTATTTAGCCTTAAAAATGAAGGAACTTCTGGGCACCTGGGTGTGGCTTAGTTGGTTAAACAACTGCCTTTGGCTCAGGTCATGATCCTGGACTTCCAGGATCCAGTCCCGCATCGGGCTCCCTGCTCAGCAGGGAGTCTGCTTCTCCCTCTGACCCTTCCCCCTCTCATGCTCTCTCTCTCTCAAATAAATAAAATCTTTAAAAAAAAATGAAGGAAATTCTTACACATGCTATAACTAGATGTACTTGAAGACATTATCTTAAGTGAAATAAACCAGTCACAAAAAGGACAAATACTGTACTATTCCATTTATATCAGGTGCCTAGAGTAGTCAAATCCATGGAGACAAAAAGTAGAATGGTGGGGCTGCGGGAGGAAGGTAATCATACTTTCAATTAAAGTATTCATTCAACAGAATAGAAATTTATTTTGATGATCATATCCTAATGAAAATAATCAGACCATAGTTTATGACTCTGAACTGTCTTATATCAAATGAGAAACAAATATGGGGTCTATGTGTTATCTACATACATCTGTAAAAGAGAATACAAAAAAGATGAGTGCCTGCTACAGAAAACATCACAGACTAGATTTTTTAAAGATATATAAAATTCTGTGAAAACACAGAATTTTCATCACATGACACGAATTACTCCCACAGTGTAAAAGAAAAGCAAAGATTTAATGAATTAAATGAGATGATAATTAAGCCAACAGCTAAAGAATGTGACCTATAAATGATACTGGACATGGCAGGGGGGTTCAAAGGATGCTTCAGACTAACAAGGATCTGGCTAGGTTTGAAACTCAGAGCTCTATAGTTTTATTGTTAACATATCCAGACTCTGAGAAGGTCGTGGCTGGCACTGACAAAGGCAGGAGTCATCTTTCAGCATCAATGACTCCTTTCTGCCGAAGACAATGGCTGTACAAACAGAAATATGACAGGAATAATAAACTTTCCAAAGCTTCAGCCATAAGACCAAGGTAAGCAGAAAAAAAGAAATCACACACAGAAAATAAACTTAATACAGAATTGTACAAACTGACCAAAATTTATACAAATTGATCAAAATCTAAAGAACTATTTATCAACAAGAAAATACAATATAGTTGCAATACAGTGATTGGGGAGAAAACATTTTTTTTTTTTAAGATTTTTATTTATTTGAGAGAGAGAGAGAGAGTACATGAGAGGGGGGAAGGTCAGAGGGAGAAGCAGACTCCCTGCCAAGCAGGGAGCCCGATGCAGGACTCGATCCCGGGACTCCAGGATCATGACCTGAGCCGAAGGCAGTTGCTTAACCAACTGAGCCACCCAGGCACCCCAAGGGAGAAAACATTTCTATTAAGATACATCTGTATCATCACTGCCATGTATTTTCTTTCCTCCCCATTTCTAGTCTATGAATTCCAATGTCAACAATTTTTAGAGAAGCTAGTTCCTCGAATGATAGATTAAAATGATAGATGTAAGAGAAAGTTTAACAATCACTGAGTGGTAGAAACACTTTGAGTCTTAAGTTTTTAATAAATTATTCTATTTCTATTCAACAAGATTAAAAGGGTTAATCAATAATTTATTATAGAGATTGAAATGACCTTTTCCTTTTTTAATATTTTTTTACTAAATTAAATATTTTATATTTATCTTTTTAAATATTTTATATACAGATTCTCTTAAGTACCTGCTTTTTTATATGGAACCAATTAAATACAGTCCAATATATCTGATTCCATAGGCCCAGTTTCAAAAGGTGTACATACTATTTTTAACATTTTCCAGCAAAGAACACACATTAAATTTTTTTACCTTACATCAAAAAACCATCAAAAATGGTTTGTAAATTCAAAAAACAATTCACTACCTTCTCATTTAATAGGAAAAGTAACTAGAAACAAATCATAAGTCACTACATACACAGGCAGTTCCTTAAGAGGCTAGGACTCTGGAGAAGGAGTAAGAGGTAAAAACTGAGTTTCTGAGGTATCAGAGAGCAAAATTCTTGGAGAAGCAAGCAAACTTCTTGGTAAAGTTTAACATATGGCAGTATTCTCTTTTCTATGAAGAACTCAGATATTAGTCTACCTGCTTCCTCTCAGCTGCTACCATCTTTAGTTTTTCACCAGAAGTCTTCTCTTGAGTTAACCATAAAACTATCTCACAACTTCTATGTTACCGCTTCTTTTATTCTCCTAGTACAGAGTCCTACAGACCTCTCTAGGTTTTTAACCACTAGCAAAACTGGAAACAGACTTTGGTGGGGGAGGGGAATGATTTTTCTATACCCTAAAGACTTTTTTTTCCCTCCCACATGGGCCCAAAATAGTACAGAGTTCATATACACAAAGCATTATTCATGGTTTGATGAGGCTCAGGGAAAACCTGCCTGGAGGTAAAAGGGGTGAATGAGGAGAAAAGCTGCTGACCAGTTCCATCTTTTCCTACTTGCCACTGTCACCAATGACTCTGCCACCTGAGGCTGAGACTAGCGTAACGTGACAAACAGGTCTGGAATTGGGGAAATATTTCAGATAGTAGTGGGAGTCTACTGAGCAGAGAAGGAATAAAAGGAAGAAAGGGAACAATACAAAGAATGGAGTGAAGAGTGGTTAGGATATCCCTGCAGTAAAGCTGGTAAGAAAAACAAGACACTACAACCACTCTGCTTGGTACCTCTCCTTATGAAAAAGGCACATACATAAAGTTGGAAGGAAGAGCACAGGGAATTTATCTCTCTCTCACACACAC